AAAACTGTAAAAAACGAACTTTCAAAAAGAGCACATTGCTGTCCTGAGGGCAAAAATATCTATTTAAAAATCGATTTTATTTATATATATTTTTATTATTATTTATGTTTTTTTTTTGTTCTGGCTTAGTTTCAACCAAAATATAGACTAATGCTAATAATAGTAATAGTATTAATAATTGTAAATGGCCATTGGTCACACCACCAGTTTGTTTTACTGTAAACTTGGAGGAAGCCTGCGTGCAGAGCAGACTGCTGCTGCAGCACGCTACACACCGACCACACCCCCACCCCCCCTCTCCCTCACACGTGCGACTAAAGATGAACAAAGCGGCAGGTAAAAAGAGTTCCTCCTCGTGGAACTACTTCGAACTTACAAGTACAAAGGAAGTTAAATGCAAACTCTGCAAAAAGACGTTGGTCTATCACAGCTCAACCTCAACAATGCGTTCGCATTTGAGTGCGAAGCACGCCAAAGAGGTTACAGAGAAAAACGCAGCACAGCCGGCCATTACCAACTTCACTTCAAGGCCACGTCGTTGTGATGACATGCGTGCAGGTGAAATAACTGCACTAATCACCAATATGATGGTGAAGGACATGCTGCCAATACGTTTCGTGGAAGGAGGGGGTTTCCTTAAGCTTATGGCAAGCGTGGAACCAGAGTACAGGGTCCCGGGCCGTACTACAATAATCGCTTATTATTCGCCAGGGCTGCCGAATAATCGATTTTGATCATGGTCAGTTTCTGGCAACCCTAGATCAGAGGGTGTGTGCCAATTACAGAGGCATCACACTACTCAGCCTCACCGGGAAAGTTTACTCCAACTCGAAAGGAGGGTCAGGCCGATTGTCGAACCTCAGATTGAGGAGGAACAATGCGGATTCCGTCCTGGTCGTGGAACGATCAGCTTTTTACTCTCGCAAGGATCCTGGAGGGGGCCTGGGAGTGCGCTTCTCCGGTCTACATGTGTTTTGTAGACTTGGAGAAGGGTTTATGACCGAGTTCCCAGGGAGTTACTGTGGGAGGTGCTGCGGGAGTATGGGGTGAGGGGGTCTCTACTCAGGGCCATCCAATCTCTGTAATCCCAAAGCGAGAGCTGTGCTGTGTCCGGGTCCTCGGCAGTAAGTCGGACCCATTTCCGGTGAGGGTTGGCCTCCGCCAGGGCTGCGCTTTGTCACCAATCCTGTTTGTAATATACATGGATCGGATTTCGAGGCGTAGTCGTGGGGGAGGGGGTCTGCAGTTCGGTGGACTAAGGATTGCACCACTGCTTTTTGCAGATGATGTGGTTTTAATGACTTCATCGGTCTGCGACCTTCAGCACTCACTGGATCGGTTCACAACCGAGTGTGAAGCGGCTGGAATGAGGATCAGCACCTCCAAATCTGAGCCATGGTTCTCAGCAGGAAACCGATGGACTGTCCACTCCAAGTAGGGAATGAGTCCTTACCCCAAGTGAAGGAGTTCTAGTATCTCGGGGTCTTGTTCTTGAGTGAGGGAACAATGGAGCGTGAGATGGGCCGGAGAATCGGAGCAGCAGGAGCGGTACTGCAGTCGCTTTACCGCACCGGTGTGACGAAAAGAGAGCTGAGCTAGAAGGCAAAGCTCTCTGTCTACCGGGCCATTTTCGTTCCTACCCTCACCTATGGTCATGAAGGATGGGTCATGACCGAAAGAACAAAATCGCGGATACAAGCGGCCGAGATGGGTTTTCTCCGCAGGGTGGCTGGTGTCTCCCTTAGGGATAAGGTGAGAAGTTCAGTCATCCGGGAGGGACTCGGAGTTGAACCGCTCCTCCTTCGGGTCGAAAGGAGCCAGTTGAGGTGGTTCGGGCACCTAGTTAGGATGCCACCTGGGCGCCTCCCTCGGGAGATGTTCCAGGCACGTCCAGCTGGGAAGAGACCAAGGGGTAGACCTAGGACCAGGTGGAGGGATTATATCTCTTCGCTGGCCTGGGAGCGCCTTGGGATCCCCCAGTCAGAGCTGGTTGATGTGGCCAGGGAAAAGAAAGTTTGGGGCTCTCTACTGGAACTGCTACCCCTGCGACCCGACCACGGCAGGGTTTCCGTTAGCCGGTAATTACCGGTTTTTAGCTGGTAAAATTTAATAAAAACAGGTAAATTCTAAATCTGCCGGTCAAAATGTCCGCTAATAATTAGGGATGCTCCGATCCATTGGCCGCTGATCATTATCGGCCGATATTCACTCTTAATAGTTTGATCGGTGCTCTCTATAAAGGCCGATCAGGAGAGCTGGATCTGATCAATATGGACATAAACGCGAGTGAAGTATAACCGGACACGAGAGAGAAAAATCAGGTCAGCTGCTGCATAATCACCTGAAGCCCGCCCACTATTTAGCGCGCTGCATGAGAGACTGATGGGCTGTCAGGAGAGAGAGAGAGAGGGAGAGAGGAAAAGAGAAGATCCGTTTCTCCCGTGTTATTATTCAAAGTTAATGTAAACTTTTGAATAATGTACTTCATCTACAACAAGTAGTTTGTTTGAATGTAATAATGATGTTTGTTGTTTGTGGAATCATTTATTGAAAAATGAATCTGAAATGTTCGATCTGTAACGATTATAAACTGAAGCAATATAAAAATGACTCCCATTAACTGAGTTTTAAACATCAGCATATCCGGTCATAGTCCGGTAATTACCTGCCAACGGAAACTCTGATACACAATTCTTCTTATTATTATTGAAACATGACCGGTAAGTTTCAAATTTGTCCGGTAAAATCAATTCTGTCCGGACATTTGACCGGCGAGAAAAAAATCCTAGCGGAAACCCTGGACCACGGATAAGCGGGAGAAGATGGATGGTGCAAGAATACTGAGTCCAGCAATCTCAATATCATTAAGAACTTATGGTAAAATTGTCTTTTTAACGCTTATTCAAAATAGCAGAAAACATGCATTATGTACTATGGAGAGGCCTCTCACAAAGTACACAGTAAAAGTACTTCCTTTTATTTCTGGTAGCAGTCAACTAATACTGCTACAGTGCAACAGTATCAGTTTTATTCAGAACTTATGGTAACAAATATTTGTATCACTCATTGAATATAGCAGGAAAGAAAATGAAGAGCAGCTGATTTGAAAAGACAAACTCGAGAGACGGCTGAGTTGACCGCGGTGCAGAATCACTGTATAGTTTAAATCTCCTTACAATGTTGTCCATTTTACCCATAGGCTTATCATATTTACAGCTCTAATAACATTCATTTTCTGGGCTCAATATGTGTCTTGCTGTTTTCATTGTGATCACTAAATTCACCTTGTTTATAATATTATCACTATAACACTGACCTGGATCGCTAGAAACACCTGCCATCAGACTGGCAAGGGCTGTTCCATGCTCTGCTCAACCTCCCGCCTTCCCAATGGACTCAGTAGCGCCCCCTGCTGCCGTGGAGCATGTGTGAGTGAGCATGTGTGAGCCAGCCAAGGCGGAATATTACTGCCAAAAGTCACGTGACTTTTGTCAGTAATATTCCGTCATGAGAAGAAAAAGTGTTGTAATTGTAAAAAAAAAGTTGTGTACTTGAAAAAAAGTTGTGTACTTGTAAAACCTATACTGAATTTGTCTCTGAAACATGATTTATTAGAACAATGTTATGCATTTGTTTGATACGTTTTTTTTTGCAAAACTAAATGCATTAGTTTGTAGATGGTGTTTTGTATTTGCAAACCACATTGTGTTTGTTAGTGAATCATGAGGCATTTGTAAAAACCTGTTTAGTTTGTTTGTGGTGTTATGGAAGGAAATTAGCTCCACACTCGCCTACATGAGACGTTGAAATCTCGCGGGACAAAGACGCCCGCAGACTTGCGAGCGAGGCGCAGTTTCTCTCCACGGGCTGCGGAAGCGAAATGCTTGATGGGGAAACGACTCGCTGGTATCTCGAGCTGAGCGCTCATTGGTGGGTTTTACCCCGTGCTGGTGATGAAGCTCTCCCATTGGCTCGGCAAAAGTTTGTTGTTGTTTTGTGTCCGTTTTATGTCGCCACTTCCATTCACATTTGTCATCATTGTTCCACAATGTTTATCATCATGAAATTAATATCCATATATTTTATACTATACTTGCACTGCTTACCGTTTTCATACTTTATATATCTTAGCATATGCATACACACTGTTCATACTGCTCTCAAGCTGCTGTGTATATCTAGTGTATGCATACCCCTCACTGTTTATTCATCATTCAATTAATTCTATATGTTATTCTGTAGATTGTGTACATTACTTTTCACTTCACTGCTTGTTGCACCTGGTTAGAAGCTAAACTGCATTTCGTTGTCTCAGTACCTGTAATCTGTGCAATAACAATAAAGTTGAATCTAATCTTGAGCAGGAACAAATGTATTTACTTACTGTATCTGACATTAACAATTAAACACATTTGTGCATTCTTTATAAATGCAAACTGGTCAAGACCACTGACGGAAGTAGTTTTGAAAAGTAATAAGTGGTTCTGGTCTTTTACATGTAGGATTCAACCCCCCTTGTATTGATTTGTTTAAAAATGAACAGACACTTGAGTCATTCATTTGTAGTGATATAATAATTGTGGGATTTCTATTGCATCCACTTCATCTGCAACGAAGAACGGCAACGCTATTTCCGCCATTGCAAACAGAGTCAAGCCGACTCCGAGCTGTCCGACTTCAGGCGAGCATTTTGAGACCTCCCCCGGCTGCAATCGGCTATTCTCGTCTACTTTGGAGGCGAGACGCAGCTCATCTCAAACAAGCCTAATGTTTTTTTTTTATGATTGGCCCACGTGATGTGACCAGTATGCGTGCGCAGCCAGATAGTTGATTGAAGTTTACATTCCTACCAGACATGAATGTCTACGTCTCCGGTATAACAATAAACGTTGGATATAGCACGTCGTAGTCTGGAGTATTTCAGAGTGATACAGTACGAGAACAAAACACCCAATACTCACATTTATCAGTTATTAAAGTAAGTTAAACCCGATACTCACGTTTATCAGTTACTCCTCACGTGCTGCTTTCTCTCTGAGACCAACCGACATTTTGTTTGTTTCCTCGTCACCGGCGCGCATTGCATCCTGGGATACGGTGGGCTACGAGGAAGAGGACTCTTCGGGAAAAGAAGACGATCGCCCTCCCCCCCCTCTCTTCTGTCTGTCCGCAGAATCAGAAGTCCTTTATTGGTCCCACAGAGGGACATTAACATGGTTACAGCAACAGTGGAGATAGATGCTGCTCCCAGACCGTAGTGGAGGAATACAGGGGAGGACTCTCTGCAGTCTTCCCGGACTGAAGCACCAGGCTTCGGCTTCAATAACCCACTCTGAAATGAGGCAGACAGGCAGGCGGTTCCTTGGGAGGTCGCTGTGTTTCCTCAGGGCTTTGTTACACAGCTAACTGGAGACAGACTGATCACTGCTGCTACTCCCGCTCTCTTCCGGACATACACTACTCTCTCTCGCTCTACACATGCACGCGCCACACCTCCTTCTCTCTCTTAAAGGGATAGGCGAACCCATTCTGCATCACCCTGCTATTATTCGATTATTAGATAGATAGATAGATAGATAGATAGATAGATAGATAGATAGATGGATAGATGCATCACATTCATGAATTAGAGTGTTTGTATCAGACCTTAGGTAGAGGCTGTTCTGTAGAGCTGATGTTACTCTAGTTATCCTGAAGGTGGCAGCAGAGGGGGATATATATATATATATATTTGTAATCTCTCTAAATATTTATAGAAATAGAAATAAAGCAATGAAGTCAGTAAATAAATAAAATAACAAATAAAAAGATGTTATTTCACATGGAAGTTGGTCACCAAGAAGAAAGGACACAGGGAAAATGCCATTTGAGGGGGGGGCTCGCCAACTATTTGATATTTAAAATTATATTTTGAAACCTCTTTTCATACAACTTTATTTATATTTTGAGGACACGTTTATCCAGCAAAACAAATGCATGTATTATTTAAATTTTGGATTGTTTATTTCTAGCCTTTCAATTTCTCTAATGTTCAATGTCTTGTCTTTTTATGCTGCTGCCACACAAACATTTCCCTAGTTGGGATCAATAAAGTACTTCTTATCTCATCTTATGTTATCTTAATAACACGCAGGCCTGTTCCTCCTTGACTGCTATTCGGTGCTTTTATTAACATGCATTGTAGTTTTAGAGGTGACGGTGCTGGTATTTGTATGTTGCTATTTGCTTGTAGATGTGTCTTTACAACTGTTGATGTGTTGTTTATTTGTAATGGAGGTGCATCATGTTGTTCTCTCTTCTGAGGCTGAAAATATGTATACATTCTGGAAAACTTTAAGAAAGAGACCGGAGCTTCTGAGATCCACGTGTTTTAGAAATGGACATTTTCAAAAACCTCAAATAAACAGTTTGTGTATCTGTGAGTATTTTGTCCTTTATTTATTTATATAGCACATTTAAAACAACCTCAGTTGACCAAAGTATTCAACGCCAGTTCAAAGAGGTGGGTTTTTAGCTGAGATTTAAAAATGTCAATAGACTCAGCAGTCCGGATATGTACTGGGAGTCTGGGAGCTGCAACACTGAAAGCCCTGTCACCTCAGGTTTTTTTCCTGCACTGAGGAACCACCAACATATTTTGCTGAGCTGAGCGCAATGCTCTAGCTGGAGCATGGGGGTGCAACAACTCAGACAGGTAATGTGGTGCCAGTCCATGCAATTATTTAAAAACAACAAGTAAATACTTGAACTGGATCCTGTAACTGACAGGAAGCCAGTGAAGATCTGCCAAAACAGGTGTGATGTGGTCATATCGTCTCTTCCCTGTAAGAAGGCGTACAGCCGCATTTTGGACCAGCTGCAGGCGGCGGATCAAACACTTATCAACACCAATATACAGGGATTTACAATAGTCTAAACGAGACGTTATAAATAAGTGGATTAGCTGTTCAAATTCCTTACTAGGAAGATAGGCTTTTACCTTCCCCAGAAGCTGCAGCTGGAAGAAGCTTGTCTTGACAACTGAGCTTATCTGTTTGTCAAATTTAAAGTTGTCAAAGATGACTCCAAGATTTCTGTCAAAGTCTGTCAAGAGAGGGACGGCTGTAGGAGGCTAGTGGGCCGAGTACACTATTAAAGCCATCCAGGAGTAGAGACTGTCCAAATATTATAATCTCTGTCTTGTTTTCGTTGAGTCAAGAAGTTGATTTCCATCCATGATTTAATGTTTTTCAGACAGCTAAGCAAGGCACTCCTAGATTATTTATTTGCTTTTATAGGCAGGTAAACCTGCAAATCAACTGTAAAGCAATGGTACGAAATGTTATGCTTTTGAAAAATTGACCCCAGAGGTAGTAAATACAGACTGAACTAAATGGGGCCTAGGATAGAGCCTTGAGGGACCCCATATCCTAGTGGGGCTGCAGCTGAAGAATACTGGCCAAGATGCACAGAAAAAGTCCTTCCTGACGGATAGGATTGAAACAATTTTAGGACGTTACCTTTAATACCAACCCACAGTTCAAGGTATGATACAATAATTTGGTGGTCAATGGTATCAAAAGCAGCAGACAAATCTAAAAGCACAAGCACAGCAGAATTCCCAGAATCAGCAGTTAAAAGAAGATCATTACAAACTATTAGGAGAGCAGTTTATGTGCTGTGGCGTGATTTAAAACCAGACTGAAACTTTTCTGATATGCAGTTAAAATCAAGGTGTGACTGCAGTTGCACTAAAATACCTTTCTCTAGGACTTTAGACAGGAAGGGAAGCTTGGAAATAGGTCTAAAGTTGGAGAGAACAGAATGATCAAGGTTCTGTTTTTGATAAGAGGCTGCACTACAGCGTGTTTAAAAAAGGTTGGAACGCAGCCTGAGGTGAGAGAGATATTTATCAAAGTTAAAATATATGACCCAATAGTATTAAAAACGTCTTTCAGTAGTCTGGGAGGAATACTGTCCAAGGGCTATTGTGATGGCTTCAATTTTTTAACCACATCAGATAACTCGGACAGTGAAACCAGGTCAAACTGCTCGAAAACAGCTGAACACACAGGAGACACAGCTGGGTCTAAGGTGAGAGGAGGAGGTGAAGATCTGATAGCCAAGACTTTATCATTAGAAAGGAACTTATTACACATGGGGCTTTCACACCAACGCGGTTCCGGGGCCGGTTCGGAGCTAGAGCCTGAAAAGCACAGTTTTTTCCTGTTCACACCGCAGCGGAGCCGGTTTCAAACACCAAAAAATTGTTGGTCTTGAAGCAAGAATCGCTTACGTCGGAGGCGGGGGCGGGGGCAGGGGCGGGATCAACCTGAGCAATAACAGTTTATGGCGAGTACGGCAAATAAAAGTTGTAACAAGCAGCTGAGCAAAGTGACTAGAACGCAACCACCCGCTTTATAAAGTCAGGCAACACTAACCAGGCTTCGTGTGATTCTGTTTATTTGTACCTTACTTTGACCATCCGTTCACTGTTATTGATCATTGTGGAGAGAGGCAGACGTTTTGTTTTGTATTATAGCAGCTATCGGATGGAATCAATACATGGGCTGCACAGGTTGTCATTACTCATGTCCGACTATCACAAGTAGAATCATGATGAAAAATACGTCGGTAAAATGTGCCGGCTTATGCCACAATAGGATAGCAACAAGTAGTCAAGATAGTCAGTTTAGCTTCGGTTGCTATGCTAACATCACCCATTTTATACCAGAGACACTTTCATAACAGCGTTGTGATGCCAAACAGCGGGCAGAACTGCAGCTTTCGGTAAATTCCGCAGAACACCTTAATAAACAATGAACCACGGCACTCTGGAGAAAAGTATAAGGGTTGAGAAGTAGTTATTTAATTTAATCTGGCTTCGTATGATTAAAGCAACACGATCATCGACCCGACAGCGTTGTGGAGAAAATCAGCGACGTAAACGGTGACGTCATGACGCAGCAGCGGCAGCACCAGTCGGGCTCTGAGCGGTGTGAACAAAACGGGGGCTGAAAATAAAAACCGGTTCCGAACCAGAAAAGCTCTAGCATGGAGCTAGAACGGGAACCGCGTTGGTGTGAAATGGGCACTAGAGTAGATGATGGCACAACACAGGGAGAGTTAGAGGGATTTAAAAGACAATTAAGAGTGGTAAAAATGAACTGGGGCCTATTTCTGTTGTTGGACACAAGATTTGAAATAAAATGTGTTTTTGCACATTTATGCTCCCCAACGCTGAGTTATTTTAAGTCGAGGCTAAAAACACTACTTTTTACAGCTGCTTACCCAGAAGTCTTTTAACTTGTTTTAACACTTACTGTATTTACAAGGTTGTTTTTAAACTATTCTGTATCTCTTTTATGCATGTTTTTTATGAATCTGTTATTCCATTATGTTTTATTCATTTTATTGTGTTCCTTTCTTCTATGTGTTATTGTTGGGGAAATCCTGAATGTGCTCTTCCAATCTGAGAGTAACATGCTAACAAAGGTATCCCAACTGTAGCTGTGAACATGACAGGATGTGTGATTAGAAGAGCATCAGGACTGTTTGAGGCATATGATAGCTATGTGATTAACATGATGATTCAGCCTCTATGGAGATAGTAGACATATAACAAGCATGCTCATTTCTGACGTGGAGCTAATCTGAACTAAACATTGAATACTGCTTTCTATTCCTCCATCTTGTGACTGTAACTCCATCTAGTCAGATTTTTGACATTTTTGAGAAAAAGTCCGATTTTTGAGAAAAAATACCAACAAATTCCTTTTTTTTTATTTTGACTTCCATTCTTGAGAGGATAATAAATACATGGATCCTGAGATTGAAGCTCAAGCCGGTGACCAGTGATATTTTCCTAACACTTATTAAGTGTTAATGATGATGTAAAGCACTTTGAGTTGCCTCTGTGTCTGAAAATGTGTTATATAAATAAACGTACCTTACCTCTTTGAAGCGTCTTTGAGCACCTGATAAAGCGCTTGATAAATAATATGTATTTTTTTTTTTTTTTTTTAACAATGTTTTTATTAATATTTTATACAAAAAAAACACATAGTGTACAGTTCCACAGATACAGAGGTGCACTTCTCAAGGTCAAATTACACTGAGGTACAGGTGCAAAACAAAACACACTCCTTCATACAAAGACACATCTTACATTTCAAAATTGAATGACATTTCCAGCCACTTTGGTTCAATTCAAGGCAGTTTCATGGAACATAGTCTGAACTCAAAATAATCATATTATGAGGTTTACACTCTATTCAATCATCCTCACCATCTGCTAGCTCCATACCTTCCACAAACAGATGAAATGGTTTCAAGAATCTTGTCAAAAAAGTCTTGTTTGTCTTTTAGTATGTTATTCTGTCCAGAGGAAAAGTTGTTCACATTTGCCGGACCCAATATGTGACGCTTGGTCTGCTGGTCTTTTTCCAAAATAATGCAATAGATTTG